AGTTTTGTGTCGTATTTTATATTTTAAAGCCTCTAGTTATAGTTTTTATAGTTTTTGAATACTTTTATAGCGAGCTTGTACAGAAATATCATATGGTTTTATGTATCAGTAATGTCTCAGTCACTATATAGATTTTATTTATTCATCATCAGAGTTCCAGTATTATGACTAAGTCAAACCAGGAGAATGGAGCAAAGACAGTTTCTAGTCAAGCATATTATTAAACAGTACAGTAACTAAATAATTTAGATTTATTTCTTTGTGAGCTAACAAATAAAAGATGAACAGACCCATAATGGATCATCTTCTAAATTCTATATACTCTATATATAAAACGTTATTAATTTTAAATTAATAATAAAAAGAAATAAGTAATTAAAATTAATGCAGTTCTTTTAGCTTCCGTGTTCATTAAATATTAAATTATTACTCTTCACTGATACGTTCTTCTTGTTCCAAGCGTGGCCCAGTGGTTAATATACTCGGAATGTGAAACTGCAGGGTCATGGCCCGCTGCCCGTTGTCGCAAAAACGCGCTCTGCTCTTTAGGTCCGTGGGTGCATTCTAAGTGATAGTTAAATCCCACTAATCGGTCATACAAAGTAGCCCAAGAGTTGGCAGCATGTACTGCTCAATGTTCACTAGCTGTCTTTCTTCTAGTCTATCAGTTCAAAATGAGGGACGGCCATGCTCAGATTGCTCTTTGTGTAACTTGACACGCAAGTTTTACAACAAGCAAACAAACAAACCAAGCTCGCCAGAAAGTACTTCTTTAGGTTATAATAGAAGAATAAACCTTGATGTTATGTTCTTCGTCTGACAGGAAACGTATTAGATCACTATGCTTCAGTCTCTGTGTTTTCTCATGACTGGGAATTTGTCAGTCATCTTTATCCAGAAAACATTGAGATCAATTACAGTAACAACAAAGTCTTTCGGTGCTTTCTAGCCATACAAGTTATAGTGCTTGTCAAATTGTTTTCTCATGACTGGGAATTTGTCAGTCATCTTTATCCAGAAAACATTGAGATCAATTACAATAAAAACAAAGTCTTTCGGTGCTTTCTAGCCATACAAGTTATAGTACTTGTCAAATTATTCTTGTAGAATTTGTTCGAGCGCAGGTATGTCTGTGTACATGAGATTTTCTTTTGATATAATGTTTATGCATGCTGGGTTGTAAATTTAATTTGTTTGAGAAATTCGAGGACAAGCTGTCTAACCTGAGCCTTCTGATATGCCTACATAATGAGATCTTTTATTTCAGTTTTCTTCAGAAGTGCTACATCAGCTCCATTTTTCTCAGAATATTCGACACAAGATTTATATTCGAATGTTTTATATCCTGGTAAGTTAATTGCTAGATCTCCCCGATATTCATACGCTTTCGATGCTACTGGTAAGTTATTCGGAAACGTGTGGATCATTCCTACAAACATACAATATCTGTTACGTACCAAATCAAAATTTTCATCAACGAAAATTTGTTGTTGAATTCCATCTTACAACTCTCCGTTTCTTCTTTGATAAGACCGTAATAGAAATGAATATATTCCTTGAGATATTCTAAAACACTAAACCGTGCAGGAGTTCCAATGGTTAGACACAGGCTCTGGCGACATTTTAACTATTTAATTAGGTTACAACAAGCTAAGGCGGCATTTCAACTATCTCACCAGCTTACAACAAGCTGAGGCGGCATTTCAACTATCTCACCAGCTTACAACAAGCTGAGGCGGTATGTTAACTATCTCACTAAGTTACAACAAGTTGAGGTGCCATTTTAACTATATCACTAGATTTCAACGAGTAGATACAAGCTAAGGTAGAATTTTCACTATATCACTAGGTTACAACAAGCTAAAGCAGAATTTTCACTATCTTACTAGGTTACAACAACCTGATGCGACATTTTAACTATCTCACTATGTTACAACAAGCTAAGGCAGAATGTAATCTTGCAGTACATTGAGTACATAAGAATCTATAAATAAATAACTAGAAAATTTCAATTATTTCCCCTCCTTCATTTTTAATAAAGTTTTAAACAATGTTCAGCAAACACCTTCCTTTGCATGTCGGGCATTTCGTTAACATTATTGCTAATGGCTTATTAGTGAGCGAAACTTTCACTTCTTTCTTTTTCTGAAATGTTCAACAAACACCTTCCTTTGCATGTCGGGCATTTCGTTAACATTCTTGCTAATGGCTTATTAATGCCTTATAGGCAAGCTTCATCTTTAATTCTATACTTGGAATACTATATTTTCTAAACCTTTGTTTCCCTCGTGGACTTCTTAACTCTATTTTTTTTTTGTTAATTTCGTAATGCTTGCTTTCTTTTGTGTACTGCTGTAATACCCAATTTTTTTTGTGAACTACTTCAAGTTTTAATTCGTTTCGAAACACAATGTAATATTATATGGTCAAGCTTCTTAACCCTCTCACTGGAATTTAAAAAAAACTAAACATAAATCAATACATCGAATACTACAAAAATTGCATTTATAATCCTTCTGTTTTATCTATACACTTTGTAAAAGTTGTGACATAAACCCAAAAAAATTGGACTTTTTGTTAAATGTGACGAACAAGCCATATTTCAAGTTTATATTGTCTGATCTCGAGTAATTGTTCATGTATACAGACATACACAATTAAATGTTCTACGAAAATAAGGTTGTATTTTTGGTTATATGTATGTGTACGTATTTGTTGGTGTTCCATAACAGCATATGATTTGTAGTCCTGCCAGCCGTGCAGAAGAGAACATCAATAATCTTCCTCTGACTACGTCATACATCCTCGTGTCGAAGATGGGTGATGTCTGTTGCCTAGTAACAGGGCATGCTTAGAACGAATCTTGCGTGAAACAGACATGGCTTTTATTTTGGTAATTTTTTCGTTAGTTTCCGCTAGAACAGACTTCATAACCATCAGGATTGGAAGCAATGCTAAGTGCTCAGTTTAGGCTGAGAGCTGCTTGGATCTACATAAACATCATGAGTTATACATTTTGGAAATATTAATATGATAGTTATGGCTGAGTGATAAGCAAATATCTCTCTTCATAGGTTTGATGAGGTGTGGGTTATACACTTATGTTTGTGTTTAAACAAGTTATTTGTAGATTCATGATTCTTTAGTCTACTGCAAACTAAGTAAAACTGAGTTCTTGTCTGAACTTTACGTTACCAAGTGTCAACTATAAAATAATAGATCAAAGTAAAAAATAATGATCATCCAAGACACGGGTCCTTGGTTTTCACTGCACGCTAGATGAATATTACACCTTTGTTTGACTCTTAAATTACTTGAGAAAGTGGACCTGTGTCTGTGTGTGAACTGTAAATCTCTTCAGAAGAGAAGAACTGCGCTTGATCTGTAAACCAATTAAACACAGAGAGAGAGAGAGAGTATCCCAGTAGGTTAGCGGTAAGTTTACGAACTTACAACGCTAAAATTCGGGGTTCGGTTCCACATGGATTGACAGAACACAAAGAGCCTATTGTATAGTTTTGCGCTAAAGCAAACACATAAGAAGAGAGGAACTTTCTGTGAACTGTAAACCACTTGAAAAAGATAGGATCATTGAGTGAATTTTAACCCACTTGAAAAAGATAGGATCATTGTGTGAATTTTAACCCACTTGAAAAAGATAGGTCATTGTGTAAATTTTAACCCACTTGAAAATAATAGGATCATTGTATGAATTTTAAAGTACTTGAAGAAGATGGGATCATTGTGTAAATTTTAAACCTCTTGAAGAAATTAGGATCATTGTGTGATCTGTAAGCCACTTGAAAAAATTAAGATCATTGTGTGAACTGTAAACCACTTGAAAAATGGAATATTTGTACACATGGGCTAGCGGGTCAGGTTACAAGCTCTTAATTTGTATAATTCCTCTTAATTTCGAACTACTGCCATAGGGAAGGCAACCAGTTACGAGCACCTGCAGCCACAATAACTTTTTTCCAGTTGTAAGTCGAATAACTTTGAATCTTACAACGGCCCCACACATAAAAATGCGAAGACCTTTATCATCATAGTAGTGTGAACTTTGACCTTTCGATCAGCAACTCGGCATGCTAATCACTTTGGCCACACCCGGTCAAAAACCTTTGTGCTTGAATGTTAATTCAATGACTTAATAAATAGAGAAATATTGTTTGAATTGGACGCCATCTAAAAAAAAAAGAATAACCTTTGTTGAATCCGCGTATAAATGGTAGAACCTTGGCTTGAAGTTTAAATAACCTCAAAGAAGAAAGAGTATTTAAACTAAATACTGTCTAAAGACAATGGAAGTTTTAATTAAGTTAAACGCCACTTAAAGAAGATAAAACGTTTAGTTACGCTGAACACCATTTAAAAAAGAACAGAAACTTCAGTTAAGCTGAACACCACTTAAAAAAAAGGTAGAAGTTTTAATTGGGTTTAACACTGTAGTTGAACAAAGCAGATCACTTACGTAAAGCTAAATACTTGAGATATTAGTTGAACTGGACATCTTTATCAAGTATAAGAATAGTAACAATAATCAACAAGAAGCATGTCATAAAAACCATCGTTTTATGATACAGTTAATTTTAGTTCATTTTGTTATTTCTTGTAGTAACTCTCCTTGAACGCAAGTTTTATGTTATCTCTCGCTTTCATATTAATATTTTGTTCTTTTTCTTTACTATGCATTGCAAATGGTAACACAAATCTCTATCGGTGTTTTTTTTAGTATATGCTACGGTATATGAAATACTTATAGTCCCTACGACCTGAAAATCGAAATTTGCGAATTTCTCTCTTTGTTCTTTCTGAAAACTGTATACACAAAATTTAAAAAACAAAATACGAGTTATAATAGGAAAATGGACAGGAATGAATTTGTCCGTAAATCAAACTGTTAAGGAAGTTTCTATCTCTAAAGTATGTTTTAGTGTGAAGTTGACAAAATAACTAGTACTTGCCAAGAATAACAATGATCGCACGTGCTTCAAGGAATGACAGGTAAGTAAAACGTGTCTATACACTGCAAAACGTAGATACAAACTCACCCTGGCTGGCTGTAGGAAGTGGTAGGGACGTCATCGTTGAGTAGCATCTGGTCTCACTACTCGGCCACATACAGCCAACATCGTTTAGCCAGGTTTAAAAACTCTTACTTCGTTGAAAATATTTCTTGCTCAAAGTAATTGTGATTTTTTTTATCAAGTTTAGAAACTATAAGCCTAACTTGTTTACATTGATATATAGCTAGGATCCACAAGAAATTTACATGCAAGAAATAATTGTAAACAGTCTCGATATAGTGCAATAGAAAAAAAAAAGAGCTTTAAGACAATGAAATGAAATAAAACATGAGATATTAACATAAACATAAATTCAAAGTTATTTATACAGATAAAAAAGCGTGAGCCGTTGAGGCTGTCATCTCTTTAAAACATACAACAGACAGATGATGGTATGTGTGAAGGAGCGGAGCGTATCTTTTTTTTTATCTTTTATTCTTTTCCTGTACAGCTACGTATCTACGCATAATTTTTCCTAATTTTGAAGCGACAGACTCTAATGAAAGCAGCTAGTCAACAGCACCCACCGGCAACTCTTGGACTATTCTCGTCTGATCTAATAGTGGGATTTGTCTGACACTTTTGTACATAAATATAGCGAACCCACAAGCCCAGTGGGACTCGAACTTTGAAACCCTTTGATTCACAATCCAAGCACGTTCTTCACTAGGCCACACCCGGTCCTGGGGGTATCAGAAAGTATGTGTGCATGGATTAAATATTGGTTATCCAGACAGACAGACGATTCATTTAAACCGTAAGCAACGTAAATGTTTTAATTGTTTTCAGACCGCAACGATGCAATTGTTCAATTTTGTAATTAACTCGTATACTGTCTTGTGAAAATCCTATACCAACAAATTAAAATACTATGCTTTCCTGTGCTATAAACTGTATTCGATTTAATCATTGCCCCCCAGTGGCACAGCGGTATGTCTGCGGACTTCCAACATTAGAAACCGGGTTTCGATACCCGTGGTGGGCAGAGCACAGATAGCCCTTGTGTAGCTTTGTGCATAATAAAAATAAATAAAATAAATAAAATGCGTGATGACTAAATTTATTTATTTTAGGGGCTCAAGAATAAGGGGAATTCAAAACGATAAATTTCCTTAAATGTAAAGGGGCTTTTGCTGTATTATAAATAATTCTAGAAGAAATCACACGAATTACAAAAAAAAAGCACAGTTTAACAGTTTTCCCTATATGGACGAACAACTATCATGGTGTTTACTGAAAGGAATCAATATCTCTTGTAATACCAAACCATCCAAGGCAATTATACGTTGTCAGTGAGATGAAAAATACGTTATTTTTTTCAAAAGGGGGAAAAGTACAGCACTTCTTATCCAGACATTATCTCGATTATTTAAAAAACAACAAAACACTTTGCTGAATTTTTCCAGTAGCACAGCGGTATGTCTGCGGACTTATAACGCTAGAATTCGAGTTTCGATACTCGTGGTGGGCAGAGCACAGATAGCCCATTGTGTAGCTTTATGCTTAACTTCAAACAAACAAAGCTGTTCTTATTTCATTTCGTCGATGCGTATAATTTTAGTTAAAAAAAAAACATGTTCCGTTCGCTAGATGAATTCGTTATCTCTATTTTGAGTAGTACCAGTTACAGTGATGTCGTGTATTTTACGATAGTGGTCGTAGACAAAAGTAGCCTGTATATTTGCATGATCAAAAAAATATTTTTCCCTTTTTGTTTTGTTGTTGTTGTCTAGTATATCATGTGTTAGCTTATTCTAAGCTTTCAAACTTTTTGTGTGGTAGGAAAGTAGGTACTGCTTGTTTGATTATGGTGACGTTATTCGAACTTCAACTGCCATTATTACCTGACGATGTTTCCATATCTAATAAAGACGAGCAGAAAGACACTAAATGTCGTTCTATGTTCCACCCCATCAAACAAAGACAAGCAGAGAAACACAAAACGTGTCATCCTGTGTATCCCATGAAACTTTAATAAAGACGAGCAGAGAGACACAAAATGTGTCGTCCTGTGAACCACCACATGAAACTTTAATAAAGACGAGCAGAGAGACACAAAATGTGTCGTCCTGTGTACCACCCCATTAAACTTTAATGAAGACGAGCAGAGAGACATAAAATGTATCATCCCGTGTACCCATGAAACCTCAGCGTTGAAAACTGATATAATTCGATAATTCAACTGGTTCCTTAAATATTTGTATTGTAGTTTAAGGTATGGTTATCAATGTTAACCCTATTCCAGATCTATATAAGGTATCTCTCCGTAAATAAACATCGAGTAAACAAATGTATGATTGCACTCTTTTTTTTTTCTTTGCAAGTATGTTTTTATGATTCGTGTTGCGCGTGACGAGTTTAACTAAGAAATTAAGAAAAACAGTTAAGTTTCAAATGAAACTACGCTATATAATTTCTAACAAGTCTTTGTTTCGTGATGGTGAACAAACAAACAACTATCACCACTTTCAAATGCCGTTTTGCATGGTTTCCATAGCAACACTCGTAATTCTCAACTATCTCCTTGACCTGAACTTAAAACGTTGTTTTATTGAGTATATTATACTCTTTCACGTTTAGTTGCGTATGTATGCTGATTATTCAAAATTATCCAGTTAAACGCACACTACATCGTATTTTACAGAAGGTTGAATATGTTACATTAAAACGATCTTTAATATGCAAAACAGCAAGTCACGTGAAAACCACAGTCGATATAAATTCGTGGTTGAATAGCATGTATCAGAATGGTTTATACATCATATACCGTTAGATAGATATCATTATGTCATCGAAAATTGGTCGCTTTTGGGAAGAATATGCAACAGCCCTTTTCGACAAAATATTCGTACACTGATATCATAAAGATTTCTTCAGACAGAGGAGTTAGAATTTCCAAAACTGGTATATTCCTTGTATCTAAAGGCTTTGGAAAACAACGGTATATGGATCATCCTTGGAGCCAGAACAATACAGAAAAATACCTGTCGTACCCCAATCGCGGTAAGCAAAGTCCGGCGTTTTGCAACAGGTGAGAATCTGCAAGCACAAAGATTAAATGCAAAAGCCGTCCATGTGATCCAGGCAAAAGTATACAACATAATCAAGAAGGATTGGCATGTCTGTCCAACCGTTGCATACATCAAGCAGCTGGAGAACGAAACGAATATTCGTGCTATTCTATTCCACAAGAACGTATATCGGTCAAGTTGCCAGACGCAGTGCCTATGGATGTCTGTGTGAATGGATTGCTGAAATGGACAATGAAAAACAGTCGCCTACGTACACTAGATGGAGTATGGAAAGCATGCAGGTAGAGGTAGTGTAATTTTAACATTACTGCCTTACGAGAGAGTCTTTTGAAACTGAAACTACGCTGTAGGGCTATTATCAAGATGCATGTCCGTCAAACAGAACAAGAACGAACGCGGCGAGGCTCCAAAGTCTTTGTAATACAAAGTACTCAACCTCCGTAAACAAACCGCACTTGTCTAAACACATAAACTACGTTAACTTGGTTACTAAGTAAATTGTTTTTAAATATGTTTAAACCTATGAAAAGATATTTGTGAGTCAATTATTGTTACCTTGTTATCAAAGCAAGCAAGTGCTAGTCCGAAACTAATCAAGTTGTCAGACCTAAACGAATAAAAGTTACAGTTTTTAACTAAAACAAATTGTCAGACTTAAATCAGCCAAGATAGTGGTTCCGAAAACAGCATAGGTGTCAGTCTTCCAATGATGAAAGTAGTCCTAAACCAAGAAAATGTTAGTCTTAAACTAATAAACGAATCAAGGTAGTAACTCTGAATCAATAAAGATGACGTCTTAAACCAATAAAGGTCCCAAGCCCTAATAACTCTAATTTCAACCCTATGACAGCACCCTCAAACTGATCATATAGCTTACCATTAAGTAAGAATATGTCCATGTCTTAAATCAGTAAACTTTTCAATCTTAAACCAGTAAGGACGGTAGTCCTAAACCAGTCAAGGTGTCAATTTTAAACCATTCAAGTTAATAGTTGAAAACTAGCTAAAGTTCCAACTCACAGCATTGGACACTTCATATCATATTTTATTTTATACCAACGATAGTAAGAAACTGTAGAAGGTTTACGCGCGCCAAACTTATGCAATATTCTTGGCATTATCCAAGTTAATATTAGTTTGGGAGTAAAGATGTTCATGTGCATTGTTTGTCGCAGAATAACATTTTGATTTAGTTTTTTAACCATTACTTAAAAATATTTTGCATAAGAACCTGTTTTTCAGCAAGACCCACTTTAGTTTTGTAAAACACATGGATTAACTTTAATCAGTATAGAATTCGATTTATAATATTTCTGTAGATAAAACAGAAACTTTTAGCTCCTTGGGACGCTGGTTACTAGCTAACTTTTCTCGGTATAGTGCGTCGTATGTGATCTTTTCCTAGACAACATATGTTAAGTATCTGAACAAAATTATCCAATATGAGTAAATACGTTCTGTAGTTAAGATTTATATGATGACTGGTTCACTTTACAACTCCTGTATTTAAGACACACTTAAGTTATATAGTTACGAAAGCTATTCAACATATTATAACCCATCCATGTCAAACGTACATGTTGACTCAAAACTGTTAGAGCATTGTTATAACTTAGCTTTCTTTCAGTAGTGGAGGCGTTGCAATATGACGGCCAGTCACACTATTCGTTGATAAAAGAGTAACCTAAGAGTTGGCAGTTAGTTCGTTTGACTAGCTGCTTTGTCTTTAGTCTATCACTTCAAAAGTATTAACATCTAGTGCAAATAGCCCTAGAATATTTTTGCGAGAAATTCAATAAACTAAGAGCTAAATAATAAATAATTGTTTTTACTACCGGTAGGTGTCTTAATATTGTGCATGATTTCAAAAGACATACAACAAATTCTACTACACTGCACAGAAATA